TCTCGGAGGGACTTAAACGCGCCCAGTGATTTGTCTGGGCGGGAAGGGGAAAGCTTTCCACCGCCGTCGTGTATACCGAGGCGCGTTACTCCTGAGAAGAGAAACTTGTTGTTCGTGAAATATAGAATATTTAATCTGTCGGATGGTGGGTTCCGCTTGGCGGTTTCACTCTAAAACCGTATCTTGAGGTGTCGGTTCAAGCAGCTTTGGTAGTGTTACCGTTTCGAGAACTAAGGTGCTTTTAGAGAGCGAAATCATGGATCCCCAAAGTGTTAAATGATAACAATCGCTGAGCGAATTTGCGTCGAGGATCAGAAAGATGGCGAGACATTCGGTTCTTCACGGAGTCGCATTAAGCTTGATCTGCGATAAAGACTTCACGAGCGTCCGCAGAGTAGAATTTATATCTTGGAAATTGCAATTTTAACTTTAATTCCGAGTTCTTTCGCGAATTCTCGGATAATTTTTCTTTAGAAAAGATTATAAAATATCATCAGTTTTTTAATATTAACTATTAAATAGTAGTTGAAATTTCAAATGGAAAAATTGTATTAACTGTAAAATTAAAGCTGTCATAAACTTGATGACGCGCGTTGATAGTTTATGATTGAGTTTAAATGAAAAATAAGATTTTGTTATTTAATTGCATCTAAAAATGTCGAAAATTCTTTATCGTTTAAAATCAGTGTTCTTATTTTAGCTGAGGGAAAAATTATTATCCAAGTACATTCTATTATTATCTTTATTATATAATTATACAACCATGATACGTTATATAAATAATGATTATCGAGAGTCGTTTATTATAAACAGAGGGGGAAAAATTAAGAATAGTAAAATTGCAAATTTTAATTTTGCCTCACTGAAGAATATCGAAATAAATTCGCAGTTTGCAGCTAAAGTTGATTGCAGTCAAATAAATTGCTCGTGAATTTGTCATTCGTGTCTTTTCAGTCGAATATTGTGACGATCACGTAATTCTGCCTTGGGAAAAGGAGGATAAGAAATAAAAATTTTCTCGGGGATCTGCCAAAATGACGACTACGTAACTTTTTTCAGCGCAAAGCAATGACGTTTGATTGGTTAAAATTCACGTGAAATTTGAAAGGTTGAAATATGAAAATTGAGAAAGTTCACTGATGATCGCATGATTGACTCCGGAGACAGATGTGTGCCATCGACAGAACGGGGATCACTTGCGAAGCGCAAGTAACTTGCAGGGTATGCTTGAAGATTTTATAGAAAGTTGAATTATACTTCAATCTTTCCCTCAATCCAGCAAATCCTTCAACGAAAGGAAAATTCCGTAAAAATCTCGATATATTCGTGGAAATGGATGTTGTTATTCTGCAATAATAGAAGAAATTCGGTGAACGTCCTTATCATTCGCTAGTGATAAATTCAGATTCAAAGAGAACGGGCGAACAACCGCTCTTGGAGTCACTGTTAATTTTCGATACATTCGCGGGAACGGAAAATCGACAGATACGCCGAAGCTTATGCGCCGCGTACGGCACATCGCGAATCCGACGCTTTCATTACCCAGCCAAATTGAATTTCACGAGGATTGTGTTACTTTGCCGCCTCGCGGCTCCGCTATTTCCATTTTGGTCAACTATTCGCGAATATAATGCCGTAGCAGTACCCCAAATGTTCAGTTCGTTTATTGCTACTTGACAGTGGCTTGGCAAGAAGAAAATGAGATTGCAACGATGCGTGAATGATTTCCCAGCGAAAAAAAAAGAGAAATCAGGACATACGTGCTTTAATACGCAACATATATGCGTATTAAATGCGAATAAAACGGCATTTGATATCTCTTTGGTTGCTGCTTTGAATTAGCGAAAACTCCACATGCAATTAATTTTTTAAGGAAACGCGACAATGTACCTACAAAATATCATATTTATTTTTCATTACTATATTGATATGTGAATTTTATAAATTTTTTTACTGTTTAAATATTCACTATTCAACATATCGTTTATATTTTAAAGTAACGTATTTTAATGTATTTGGGAACAATATACTATAAAACAATATATACTACAAAAAAGGTTTTTTAATTAAATTCGCTCAACAATGTCTTCGGCAAACATACTGAGAGATTTTATTAAAAGATGATTTTATGGAAAGACTCCTTTTTAATACACGTTGAACACATATTTATCGATCGCTTTTGAAATTCTCGTTTCTCATAGCAAAAATACTCATTGTTTCGTGACGAAAAAAAAAAACCGTTTCAGGAAACGACGAATGAAAGAGTGTTTCAATCACGTCCCTAACGGCGTTCGGAGCGTCCGCACCCCGACGCGTTAAATAATCGTCGTGTCGGTCGCCGATTGTGATCGCGTTATTACTTTCAATCGACGTAATCCGGAGCGCCAATCGCGGCCGCATTGTGCCAGGGCACGCACTGACGAGTTGACGCGTCATTTACGGAAATTGTAAACGCTATGAAATTCTCGCGGCTCGCGCGTACAGAGCGGATCGACGAGGAGAAGGATTAACGATCGACATCGCGCGCATCGCGTCGCTCCAGTCACTCGGAACCGCCAATAGCGCGGGAATCCAATCGGACCTTGGTATTCCGGTTGTGTCCTGCCACCGTTACTACTGTTGCCGAGCTCCACTCGGTCAAGAGTGATTTTTCGCAATCAATAACTTTGCTGTTTACGCATCGTTTCCTGTGTATCGCCGCTCTCTTCGCTGCCCCCGCGGGCGCGGCGTTGTAATTACATTTGCACCGTGCGGCGCGACGCCGCAAAGCTTTCAGAATTCTCCTGACGGAATTTCATCGATCCACCACCCGTTGGTATTGGTACGATCATAGAGGCGACCGGTCGTTGGCACATCTATAATAAACGGGGCGACTCCATTGCTAGACGAAGGACGGCACGGCGCGACCGACTATTTGTTGCTTCTTTGAACGTTTAATTAAACTCGTGCGCGGATGTAAGTAAATTTCTCTTATTTCATTCGATTCTCCCGACCACACCGGCAAGTAGAAACGAGTATCGCTTCTGTAACAACCTTTCTTTTCTCATGTCGTATGCTGTTACCTAGAATAGTGTTATATATACGAAACTGCACGTAAATCTGATCTTCACCGTCTACTTGGAAGAGAAATTATTTTGTCTACGAATTTATAACATGTATATAACAAGCATATAGATAATATTTTTTTAATTATCTTTACAAACTTGCAATATACATATATACGCTAACAGAATATTTAAAATAAAATTATTATCAAAAGAAGTACATAATTATACTTAAGCAAGATTGTACATTGAGACATTTCATATTTTTCTATGTATTGAATTTATATTATTTCTACTCTGCATTTTGCAAATGAAACTTAATTATACACCGATTTTGTACAAACGTTTCATGTCCTAGAAAGTCATAAAGTATTGCATATAAAATTGCAATTAATATTTAATATGCTACAATAAATTCTTAGATATTTTTCCTACAAGTAGAATGTTTTTTGGATTATTGTTATATTAAAATTGATTGGATTAAAAATTTTAATTACGAGAGATTCGAGTTTAAATCTCGGCTGAGATAATATTTTTCGTAATAAAATTATTTACAAGTCTTAAGATGCTTATCAGTATCATATTAATATCTTTCTAAGATGCCCATTGATGAGCATTAATATTATTAAATTATCAATTTAATCTGTAACATTATTCTCTAGTTCTATTAGAATTGCGTTTCAAGATTGAAAATTAAATTTAAATTTGTAAATTATTTAAGCATTAAGAATCCAGCTCGAGGCCTTTATTGCCTGTTTATTGTGTATTCACATTACAGTCTTCAGTACTTTGTTCAAAAATTATTAATTAAAAGGACACAAAAGACACAAATAATAAAGACACGCTTTAACAATGATTTGTTCGTATAGTAGTTGGAGAGGCATCTTCGTCTTTTTGAAAATCGAGGTTTTGTCCATCTAGGTACAACTACATGTCATGCCACTGTGTCGCTCGACACATTCACCGAAGCGTAACACAGTTCGAGCCAGCAGAATTTCAAAACGACGGACATTTCCGCCGCAATGTCTAGCGCTGCTTCGGCCGTGACACTGCACAAATGTGTGGCATCGGTTTTTCGTGCGTACTCGCCACACTCCGCGTCGCGCAAAAGAATCTCCCTGATACGACGCGACGTGGCGGCGGCGCAAAAAGGAAATGCATTTTGACACGGAGCACAACCAAGCGGAAGTTTAAATGCATTTCTAAAACCACGGAGAAACTTTCAGCCTCACGTCGCCCACGCCCGTCGTGGGAAAAATTAAAAAATATAACTTGTTAAAACTACACAGTGGCGGAAAAAAGTTTAATCCTGTATTCAAAAGAGTCTCTCAAGAATATAACATTTCTCGCAAAATGCAGTACGCCAATTCTCTAATTCTCTGTTTATTTTCATTATGTGTGTTGTGCTTTTATTTTTTCACGTACCATATCTTTTACCATATCTTTCGCATTTCTAAAAAAAATTAATGTGACAATCTTGTAATGTTTAACTAGAGTAATCCTCAGGTAAAAAATTGACCGTTCAAGCAACTTTTGATTGGCCATATTCAAAACAGCGCTTAAGATGAAATGATATGTATTTATCTCATTCTATCTTAAGTTTGGTCCATCATATTTATTTTATTTAGCCAATCTATAATACGCAAAGGATTTTGAAGGATCTAAAAATTTAACTCGATATAGATGTGCAAATAATTTTGGACCATCAAAATAATTATGTAGGACAAATTAATTATAAGAATGTCAAAACTTTTTGCAGCATTATTAATCATGTTTGACATTTCTACGGAATTATTTTGCTGACCCAATAAAATTATTTTTAGGTTTGTGTTTAGTTAAATTTTTCGATTTTTCGTGTATTTGAGGATCTCTACATTTAACTTGTCATTGTCATATTTACTTTCGCATAATAATCGTTGGGCATCAAATAATTTAATATAATCTTTCTTGTTTCAGATGTCAACTGTTTCCAAAAGTATTATTGAATCACGTTATGCAAGGAGCATTTGGAAATCGCAGTGAGGAAGGTAAGTCGTTTTTTAATAAATGATTACAATATAAATATCAAGAAAGTATGAATATACATATATTTCTCGAAATATACGTAATCGCAGTAATAATCGGCTTTGGTACTGTACTCCATCTGCGCAAATGAAGTAATATAGTACACATTTCCAGCGATTACATGGATAATGATTGATCGCTCGCTTATTGAAATTCATTACAATAATAAACCGCTCTATTATTATCATGGATTTATTAACGCAATATATTGTTAATGAATAATTCTTTCTGCGTGATCAATAATTGCATCACATATTGCGTGCGACACAAAGCGATTATTCGTTTGTTAAAGTGCATCTTGTCTAGTGAAAGCAATTAATGGAAATCGTTTCGCGTAACCCGTATCCTTTGTTTTTTTGTTACAGGATTCCTGACTGCTGCGACTTTTCTCTCTACTTATTATCAGAAGCATTTCTTACTATTGCAATGTAACCCGTAACACGGTGTCCGAATAAATAAGCGGTTATTCGTATTTTTGAGAATCGTGATAGCTTCGTAGTGAGCAAATGTAATTAGCGCGAGAAAAAAAAGCAAATTGGAGCATACTACCTGTAACTCGTATTGCAACGAAGTAACGTTTTTTCCTCTTTCTACTCGATGATAGTTTAATCGACGATAATCGATTTATTCAAGTTCTTCGGTAATTCTCTTGTTTAGTCGAAAGCGGAGATCGATGTACATAGCGAGAGTTTTGTATATTTGTAAAATAAATAGGGCATTTTATTATAAATATATATATATATATATAATCTCATCCTGGCACACTCGGGCGATTTGCTTCGCCGTCGCCGTCGCCGTCGTCCGCGTCTCATTGTTCCGTTAAGCGACGGGGCGGACGAACTGACCGGTAGATTGCGACGCTTAATTTAAAATTCTATCAGCCGTTGTGTGTATAATGTATATCCATTTGTACAAAGTTACGTGAGAGCATTAATATCATTAACATCGACGAACGGCCGATTCGTTTATTTGAACGTGGGCGAGCCCTCCGCCCTGCAAAGGTCAACGTTAAGTCGACAGCAAGTCAACGGCGAAGTCAACGCCAAAAGCATTAAATATTATTACATCCGGCATAACATTCGCCGCCGTGCGTTACTATGGCGCGCGTCGATGATTAATAGGGATACTCCGCGTAGCGTGACGTCGAGTAATATGTGCGCATTGTAATAATAATAACTCAGTACGAGAGGCATAAATTCGCGGATGGGTTAATTAGTACAAATTACTGCGGTATCAATTCTCGCCTGCTGTTATATTGCAAGCGGTCCGGCGTGGCGTAGTCGCGCGGATCGGTGAATTAATTTTGTTAAGTCATGTCTTGCGACGCCGAGAATTGTAGAGAGCTCACCGAACGAAATCGAGACTATGTGTAAATATTAGTTTTCTGTTGTATTGATGTACCATAATTGTATTAAAAGCTAATGTCCCATTTGTAAATGTTGCTGCCCGTCGAGGCAGCAGCAATTAACGGAGATTATTTGCGTTTCGCAATAAAAGAAAAGGCTACAGTGACAACAATGGCGTCCTTAACTTACCCAGAAACGAATTCTTTACCCGGGAAAAATATTTAATTGTTCTTTCCTTAACTTTGTTACACGAACTTTCGGTATTGAAACTTCTTTTTCTTCCATGCACAGCGATGTCTGCTTTGTAATAAAGTTAAATACAAAGAAAACTTGTTTATTTTATATACATATGTATACATATATTTCACTGTTTCACTTTTCAGATATCATGTTATTGGATCGTTGGAAGGCACCATCAAAGTCGTCTTAACAGATTTTAGATTAAGAGATACGTAAAATATTCCTCCGAAAGATACTACCGTAACGTTTTTTTATTCGAAATTTTCCTCACACCACACTTTTGTACATGCGCTTTCTACAAGATATCAAAGAGGAAATCTTCGCGCAGTTCTATTACACGACTTGATGAGAAGCTGTTCACACACATCCCTGGAAAGCAGTTTCATATTTTTGTAATTATTTAAGTCCTGAGAAAAAAAAATTATGGAACCGTACATGGCTGACAGCGTAATAATATCCCAAGAAGAAATTTAATATCTTCAACCTTCCTGCTATTGACAGTTTCACCGATGCCAAGTAGGTATTTTTTTTTACGTTTTTAAAGATCAGCACAAAATGGAGAGCAATTAAATTTTTTAATCGAAACAAAATATGCTGCATAATGGTTAGAACTTATTACAGAATATTTTTAAAGTGTAAATTTGCGAAATTTTAAACAAACTTTGTGGAAACTGACAAATTTTGTATTCACTTTTTGTTTTACATCTCTTGTATACACGCAACCACACTTACACACAATCACATCCTCTAAATGTTCTTTCGTTTATGGCAGCATTTCTAATTGAGCAGCTTCGTTGTAACTTACCGTCACACCATCTATGTTAACTCTCCATTTTGCTAAACTTTCTTGTGTTATTTTTTCCTGATTTTACCAGGTATGTAAATATGAAACCGGATTTTACCAATATATATATATATTGTAATATATATA